ATGGCATTTTCGTGAATAAGTGGTGAGGAGAAGGATAAAGAAGGGAAAAAGTGGCAAAATAAGAGAGAGGGGATATAGGGGTATAGGTTTGACATTGACCACAAATTGTGGGTTATTTGTGCAACTATCCCATAAAGTTTTGATATTTTTTATAATTAAAATTATTGGTGGTGTTTTATGGTATTTCTCATGCTAGTTGAAATCTTGTGGTCTAACTGAGAAAAATTGTGATCGGTTTCAGATCGATTGCCTAATTCTATTGGCACGATTCCTAACTATAATGAGGTTGGAATTACAATAAAAGATGTGGACGAAATGTTACTTGATTTGGAGGTTAATATTGCTTGATTATGAAAGTTGATTTTGTTTTATCATTTTTTCTCAGGATTTTCAAATGTTCCTATTGTTCTCGATCATGATCTCGAATGATCTTGGTAGCGATTCTCATGAAATTAAACCCCATGTTAGTGACTTAAGTATGAGCATCTTAGCCAATGTCCATCTTGTCAACAAACTCATTGAAGAAATGAAGATCCCTGTCTCTGACGGTGCCACGGTAAATTAAATTTACACTTAGCCATGATCATCTTAAAATTTAAAACAAGAAATCATGGCTACTAAATTAATGATTGATTTTTTGCGTTGTTACAAATCTGCAAGAGTTTTGAGGATTCTGGGACACAAACTCGTGATTGGGATCATAAAGGTCCACTGCTTAAGGGTCCATTGCTTCAGGTACATTTTTGGATCACATAAGCATCGCTTGCCAACTAAGTTTTTCAAAGGGAGTGGATAACATAAGCCCACTCCATTTTTCCGGACTCTTATGTTATGAAATTATTTGTATATCTGTTAAAATTTGGATATCAGAATAGATTTACGATGTTAGAGTAGATATGGACTCTCTACGGCTAGGCCAAACGCTCTCTGGCCCAGGACCCGAGATCTTCTCGGATTGTTTTGACCGGCAGTCTCGCTCGCCCTGCATTACGATGTTGTCTCCATTGCCACTGGCCGGTGTGATTCTTCACCGGAGAGGCCCAATCCACCGCTCTCAATCCCTCCTCCCCTTGATGGCCCAATCCACCGCTCTGCTCTGACCTGCATCCTCCGCTTCCCCCTCTCCTCCACCTGAGCCGCCGGATCCACCAAATTCAAACCCTGCACCGTCACGCGCGATCTAGCTGGGGGTTAGGATGCGACAATGGCGGTTGTCCAAGCCATCACCATTTCCGAACTACCGGTCTGGTCGGCGACAGAGATCGGACTCCATCACCGCAGCTTACCAGATTCAACCGGCAACTCCGCCGGCGAAACTTCTCTCTATAGAGAACACTATCTGGCCCCCCTCCTATCTGCCCCACCTTCCCGATGCCTCAACTATCGTATCTCCGGCGATGGTTGAGCAGGATCCGCCGCGAAAACTGGCCGGATTGCTCGCTCACCGCCGCTGTCGGCTTCGGCCAGGGAGATCGCGGATCTCCTATCCACGTCACCACTAGAAAAGTTCTGCACCTTGGGCTTGGCCCATTTGGTTTAAAACTAGATGGAGATTGAGATCCTTTAGCCTATTAGGCCCACTGCTTAATAATTTTGAGCCGAGTTCAGTTTCTGAATTATACTTGGTTATGTGTTCATACTCTCCATCAACCTTATTTATGGATGTGTATGACACTTTATTAGGGTTGTTATCGTAACCATATTCATGCTCCTCATCGACTTTATATGCTTCTGAGCTTATTGGCTTCTCTTTTTTGAGAAGTCCAAAGTTTTCTGGATTCTCAAATCCTGTAATCTCTTCCCTCTTATTGAGAGCGGTCGTACCTTCACCTTTCTCTTTGAGAATGAGTATTTTTCCGAGTTTTGCGCCGGGAACCTCTAAGAATTTCCTCACCGATTTGTTTTCTTACGTAGCCGTATTTTCGGGACCAAAAGAAGCAATCGGGCTCGTCTTGATGTATACCGGAGTTAGGAGTTTGATTTCAACGTACACCTTAAAGTGACCACTTTGAAGATTTTCTATTTTGCCGAGAAGACCCTTTTGACGCATTCGAGGCACTCCTTGGATCCACTATCCATTTCTCGCGATAAATTATCTATCTTATGCTTAATTAAATTTAAATTATGTTGTATTGGTGGTCGAGGATAAGATATATCAATACAATATATAGTTTATATTGACCCACTTATCTACACCTAAATACAAATAGGTGTATATATTTACATTTTTGAAGCAGATTAGATATCCAATGTTTCAAATTTTAATATTTATGATATGCTTTGCTTTTAATGGATATAAAATTTTAATTTGTTTTTTCTGTAAATTTATGGTTATCCGATTTTTTTGAATAAGTTCCAAGCAAATAAATAACAAAACATATATATATGTTTATGCATTTAACGTGTCACAGGTAAGTGATACAAATTTGGAACGGATTCACAAGAAATTAAGAATTCTCAAAGAAGCAAGACAAGGAAGAAAAGGGTGAAGATTATCTATGTGTATCATCATGGTGAGATATGTTACAAACTTTTTGTAAAAGACTCGTGATTGTAAATCTATTAATCCATTCTAAACCGGATCAAATTAACCAATTGATAATTGACGGTTGACAAAACCATTGTAATAAACTAACTTGCATGGAATCGGAAACGGTATGCGGAAGCGTTTGTTAAAAAACGCGGAAACGTGTTTTTAAGAAAAAAGAAGAAATAGAAACGTTTTGAAAACG